AACCTACGGCCTTGCATATACCAGGCAAGCGCACTACCATTGAGCTGCACCCATGCCCAATATTTAGTAATGAAAACTGACATATTATAGAATATCTGATCACTGCATGTTCATGTGTGCTCTTATTTTTCTTTGGAAGATTTTTTTTCAAATTTTTTTAAAAATTCATAATGCCTATTCTTGCTACTGGATTTTTTTGGGGGGAAGGGATTGAGTCTGTGTTTCTCTGTGTAACTGTCCTGGCTGTCCTGGAACACCCTCTGTAGACCAGAATGGCCTCGAACTCACAGAGATCCGCCTGCCTTCCTTGTGCTGGGATTAAAGGCTGTGCGCCACTACAACTGGCACCGATTTTTTAAAATCTTTTAAATTTTTATTAATTTATTGTATGTATGTGTGTGTGTGCATGTGTGTTCGCAGGCATGGAGATCCAAGGACAGCATGTAAGATCTAGTTCTTCCCATCGTGTGAGCTCTGGGGACCAAGCCCAGGTAGGCGGGCCTGGAGGAAGTGCCCTTTCTCAGTAAGACACTCAACAGCCAAGTTTTTAAAAATTTTAAGTCAATTATTTTATAGGTCGGGTGAATGCAGGCACACACTTGGCCACGCCGCATCTGTGGAAACCCCATTGTTGAGGTGGGGTCTGTTGCTGCTGTGATACATAGTCTGTTCTAAGAGCTTCAGGATGACCGGTCTATCTCAGGGTCCTAATCTGGATGTAGGAGTGCTGGGACCAGAGTTGTGTGTGTCACCGCCTCTAGTTTTCCCGGGTTCTGGGATTGATCTTGGGTTTTTAGGTTTACACAGAACCTTTAGAGCAGTGCTGAGCTGTCCCCCTGGCCCATCATTAAGATTTTTTCTTTGTTTTTAATGTTTAGATATATCTGAATTTTAAGATTTCCTTTTGGTTATTATTATTGTTGTTGCTATTATTATCATTATTATTTTGTTTTTTGAGACAGGGTTTCTCTGTGTAGTTTTGGAGCCTGTCCTGGAACTTGTTCTGTAGACCAGGCTGGTCTCGAACTCTCAGAGATTTACCTGCCTCTGCCTCCCGAGTGCTGGGATTAAAGGCGTGCACCACCAACACCCAGCAATTTTTTGTTTTGGGTGGTGGTGCTAAGAATTGAACCAAAGGCCCCAAGCATGCTACATGCAGCTATGATAACCCTCTGAACTTCTGAGACAGGATCTCAGTATGTTGACTTAAACTCACGGTCCTCCTGCCTGTCGCTACAGTGCCAGGGTTACAGGTGTGAGCTTCTGTACCAGGCTGAATTCCCGCGGAAGAGCCATTTGCTTGAGCCTGGAAGCTGGTAGCTCTGCCTTCACCATGAGTGGGGGCCACACCCTCAAGGAAGTGTGGCAGGTCCCAGACTATCATGCTCAGGGCGACAGCCATGACTGTACCCTTTGGGTTCTACCCGACAAGATTAGCTTGTTTCATATTTATACATAACGTCGTAAAGCAACACAGAGGGCTTCTACATCTTTTGTAGAACTCCCCCTACTAGTGAGACTTTGTATACAAAACTGGAAATACACAAAACCCAGTCTATATGCAGACTGGGTCTCATCAGTGTTTCCATGTTTGGGGGCCCAGGAACTACCCAGGATTCCATGCTTTTCTTCGTTGTGTTCTGCTTTCTTGAGCTGCCAGGGAGCTTCATTTTCTTGGGTTTCCAAATCGACCCCTTGTTTGCCCTATTCTCTTTTCAAGGTGGGGTGAAGTCTGCTGCTCTCATTTGCATTTAAACCAGTGTCCTTTTCGTTGGCTGCATCTGCTCAAGGGTGCAGCAGCAGGGCCAGTGGACACTGTCGCCAGTGGGCACACGTCTGCCAGCTCCGCTCAGGGGGACGCCGCTGATTTAAGGCCTTGGAAAACCACACTAGGTGTTCTCAGCAGGCAAAGGTTTCCTCAGCACTAACCGCCTTTGACAAACTAACAAAAAGCAACTGTGTTGCAAAGGAACAACCCAGAAAGTATCAGTTCGACACCAATTCGTAGCATTTATTGACATTTCCATTTAAAATGCTAGGAAAGCTGTAAAAATTGTAAACATGGGAACCAAACACTGCATAAATTATTTCCGAACTCTACAGCACATTAGAAAACAGCTAATTGAAGGGTAGAAACGAAACTGACAAACAGAAGGGCGGGCTCAATCGCTAAAATCACACACCCATACCGAGATTTAAGTGCCCGTTTGAGATCAGCGAACCATGATTGTCAAGTTGCAGTCTCCATGCCACAGGTGGCCCATTTTGCTCTGCAGTTTTGGATATTAACGCACATCATCTTAGCACAAGGGTGCAGGAAGTCAGAACGCGGACCTCAGCCAAGCTAGAGGCCAGTCGGTCCCCCAGCAGCCAGGCAGAGCAAGCTTCCCTGCTAACACTAGCTCCGGTCCTGCTCCTCTCTACTCCACAGCGAGCACTGAAGAGAGGAGAGCAAAACCCGGAGCCTGTCTGTAACCATTGAGAATGGCCCAGCTAAGAAAGGCCCAGAAGCCTTGGCTCCTCTGGCTCCTCCTGCTCCTTTCCCCACCGCAGGGGAAGAACGGGGCGTTTGGCTTTGACTTAGCCCAACTGCATCATGAGTACTTGATGTCTGGTGGGTACGAGAAAAGACATCAGCGATTCTCCAGCTAAATTACTGAAGTGGCCCTGAAGCAGAGAAACCCGTAGGAAGAAGGCAAACCGGGAGCCTGGATGTGACCTGCCCTGTGGGACACCAACCTGGGGGGGAGACCGTGCGTATCTGATGCAGACATTCACTGTCCCTCTTGCGTCCCGGCTGGTTCCTAAAGGCATTTACTATTCCTTTTCTACACTTCAGTGCGGCTGTGTGCTCTTAAGATAATTGTCGAGTGTCCTGTTACACATACAGGCGTGAATTAACACTGTACCGCAACGGTTCAGTTTTCAAAGTCTTTTTATCGTGGACAAAAGAATTCTAGCTTAAACACCCACAATCACCACCCCCCTCGAGCCCCCTCCCTCTCAAAACAAACCACCTAAATGCACCATTCTTGTTTACTAGGCAGTGAGTGTAAGCCTATATAGTTCATGGGAACGTTACAACAGAGGCCCATAGAAACTCTCACCTGTTCCAGGAACGCCTGTAATGGATTGGACTAAATGACGAATACAGACGTGTTTGTGCTCACGGGTGTAGAAGTGGACTTCCTTGTACTCCTGCTTGCACCAGATGTAGACGAGCAGGCTCTGATGGCGAACACGGGAGCCTCACTTTGGAGGTAGAAACGACAAGGCGAAAACCCCACAAGCAGTATGCTTAAGACAGGAGCACCCTGCCCTGTGCCCAGAACCTTGACCCAACATCCTTCCAAGTGTCTAATTCATTCCCACCTAGCAGGGTGAAGGGGTCAAGGGAGGCCTAAGGAATGATTAACTCGTCAAGTCCTGCCAAAACAGACTAGTATCTGGGGACCAGCTTTGTGACTAGAGCACTCATTAAGGTCTGAAACTGCAGTGAACACCGCAGACAAGAAATCAGGGAATGGCTGGTTTCTGCCCGAAGCCTTCCAGGTCACCTGTGCTTGGGTCACAGGCCTCGTGGCTTCTAAATTCTGACTGGCAAAACCCCCACTGCTCTTTAAAAGTCATGTGCCATCAAGCCGGGCGTTGGTGGCGCACGCCTTTAATCCCAGCACTCGGGAGGCAGAGGCAGGCGGATCTCTGTGAGTTCGAGGCCAGCCTAGTCTACAGAGCGAGTTCCAGGACAGCCTCCAAAAACAATACAGAGAAACCCTGTCTGGAACAACCAAAAAAAAAAAAAAAAAAAAAAAGTCATGTGCCATCAAAATCAACACACACATTGAAATGAAATAAAAACTGGAGGCAAACAGGGAGGCGTGAAGAAGCCAGATGTGCTTACCCACAGCCTGCCTAATGACCGCAGAGGCCCGCGTGGACACCCTCCACTGACTTCAGACAGACCACAGCGGTTCTTGGCCTCCCTCCCTCCTTCCGCGCAGGGGCAACTTCCCGGGCAGTCCTCACCTGCTCACTTGTTTCCTGTGCTACTGGCCGGGTTTCCTCCCAACACCGCCTCCTTCTCTTCTGAAGCTTCCTAAACAGTGCAGCTAAGGACTGCGTGCTCACAGGACAGCAGCTCCAGATGGAGTTCACTTCCAAGGACCCAATTCCTAAACCCTTCCCCAGGACCACCGTGGGGCTTAGCCCCTGCCGTATCATCACTGGCTTGAATAACATCAAAGTGGCTTCTGCGGTTGGCTTCTCCCCTAGGATCTCATCAATCCCAAACATGCGACTCCTGTGACTTCTGAATATTCCACGCACCTGTGCTCTTTGTATTTTACAGATATCTAAGCCACGCTGCTTATCTGGACCGTCCGGCTTTTATACCTGTCTGTCCTATCCAGCTTAGACTCTAAGATCTCTTGGAAGACAGGGCTCATGTCTGCTGACCTAGCTAGTGTCAAACTGCAGAAAGTCAGGAGGAAAAAAAGACAAAACTTCACAGGGGACCTTTGAAGCTAACAGAGAAAGTGGTAAGTGTGAAGCGAACCAGCAGAGGGGTCGTGCTGGGCTTTCAGTTTTGGTCTGATTGCCTATATGTGAACCCAGACACTGGAAGACCACAGCAGATCACATCATCTATGCCAGAACATTCTCACAGATAACATCTTACACGTTCACAGTGACTGAGGCTCTCTCCTCAAGGGATGCTTGCAAGCAGGATCACACCTGATCCTAAGAAGCAGAGATCCCATGAGGTAGGTGCGTGTGTGTGTGTGCGTGCGTGCGTGTGTGTGTGTGTGTGTGTGTGTGTGTGTGTGTGTGTAGGGTGATCTTATTAATAAGAATGATATTCAGAAGGAACCAGACACAAGGAATTAGCAACAAAGGGGGGGAAAAAAGCACTTCTCCAGGCACACTGACTCAAACATGTAGCTTGTATTTCCCAACAGAACTTGCAGAACTAGGAGAAAAGGACAGACGTTAAACTTAACTTTCATTTTGGGGTGCTTTAATATGTGGAACACCAAAGTTACACAGTCGAACAGGACGGCCTCCTTCAGGGGAGCACAGCGCGTGAGTGACTGGACACCTGATAGGCATGGACTATCCCACAGCAGCTTCAGCGTGATAACCCTGCTGTGGCAGGTGTCTAGGGGAATGAGTGCAAACTGAGTGTGCTTCAAATAACCAAGAGCTGAGCGCTGGAGCTCCGGGAGGGCCTGCACACCAACCCACCTGTGGTTCTAACACCTTCTGTTTTCTTTTGGGGGGGTTTCGAGACAGGGTTTCTCTGTATTGTTTTGGAGGCTGTCCTGGAACTCGCTCTGTAGACCAGACTGGCCTTGAACTCACAGAGATCCGCCTGCCTCTGCCTCCCGAGTGCTGGGATTAAAGACGAGCGCCACCACCGCCCGGCTTGTAACACCTTTTTAAAGGTGTATCTGCTACCAAGAATAAAGATACAGGTAGAATCCCTTTATTACAATTTCAAAGGCATCAAAACTGCTGCTGTCGTCACATCCTGACACCAAGGCTTATTTTGACAGTGTACAAAGGAGGTGATCGTTTTATGACACTCCGTGTCCCAAACACTCATGACATAGGGTAGGAAAGGGCCATTTATTCTCTGTGCTGTATGATTTGAATTTCTTACAAGGTGTCATAAAAAAATTCTGCCTGGATATTTGAGACTTGGCTTTCTGAGTGGCTTAGGAAGAGTATACATTAAATCAAGATCAGTAAATAAACCCAGAACAGGGGTCTCCGCCTCCACTCTGCAGACTGCCTACGGGCCACCCGATGAAGAGCTGTGGGACCCCCTCCTGCATGCCTTCTCATCTGCAGTGTGCAGAGAAGCAACGGCTGCACCAGTTTCCAAGAACAGGTAGCCCTTGTGTCCTGAGACCTACTAAGAAGAGCAGAGGCAATTCTGGAAACAGTGACTACAGTCTAGGAACTTGTTTTAGCTGTTCACACGTTCTTAAAACATGTCCAGACACACAGGCTGATGAGGCTGAGCCCCCCAAACTCTACCCCATGATCTGTTGTTCAATCAAAAGTATTCACTCATCGGATGAAGAGGCTCATGGCTGGACACCCCTGATAGTCTGCAATGTTCCAGAGTCTCATTCAGGCACCAGAGTACAGAATGGCATTGAGTATAATGTCAGAGGCTAAGAAATGTAACTTCAGAAGTGCATGTGAAATGACCTCTCTCCAGCCTACAGTGAGTAAGACAGCTTTCGGACAAAGAACTAATAGCAAAATCGGAAATGGGGGAAGCTCTCATTTCCTTCATGATCTCTACAGAGGCTGACAGGAACATGGTTCCACTCCCAGGCCGGAGCTCAGGGAATCTAACTACTATGGGTTAGATTCATGACAACCGGGTGGTCCTACGAGTCATGTCTGCTTCTGTAAGACCCCTCATTCAAACTTAATCTGTGAGCAAACCGTCAGCAAACTACAAGGACCTGGAAGCGAGGACATCCCAGGAGCCTTGTTCCGTAGGATGGACCTCACTGAGACACGCTGTCATTGTCACCAAGAGCTGGTCAGCCAAGAGAATAAACAGCAAATACAACTAAGACTGGAAATCTAAACTCTGATATGTATTTTGAATAACTAAATAAATATTAGGCTTCCCCTCGCCAATGCAGGAGTTCCTTTTTTCTCCCTCCCCCCCCCAAGCCCCAACGAAACCGCCAACATACTCTTCTACGGCAAAAACCACAGTTGTGTTTCACAGACAGAAAGGCGAAGGGCCCTGGGAGCTGTAGCACCAGAAGAAGAAGGAACGCAGACGATGGCTTTGTTTGGAATCACCAGGCTCCACACAACCTGTCATTAGGTTTCTCACTGGTAGCTTTTTTAGATTACCAAGCAGTCTCGGTACATCTTGTTGTTAATATTACTATTGAAATAAGTTCCTACGGAGGAAAAGAGGGACCTGTTACTGAAATGTCTTGAAATCTCTCAGGAATCGGAGCAGCGGGTGTGTTGCAGGTGACGGTCAGACTTCCCACAGAAACGCTGTCCCCTCCGTCCCTAACCACCTACAGGTTTTAATCTTTTGCCTTTGAAAGAGGAGCGCTTTTGTTAACTTAGGTATGTGTTTTGGTGTGTGTGTGTGTGTGTGTGTGTGTGTGTGTGTGTGTGTGTGTGTGTGTGGTGCTGGCTTTTGGCCCAAAGTACACACGTCTCGACTGAACCCGAGTGGCACCGAACTGCCAACCCAGTGAAAGAACCGTGAGTTGTCCGTGTGACTTCATGGCATCTTCTAAAATTGCAACTTGTTCCCTTCCCCGGGCGGCCTGTCCGGGGATGTTGCTTCCGACGCTTACGAACACCCACTCAGCTGATTTCCTTGGTCTTGCTTCCACAGGAAGCAGATACTTGGCAAACCTGCAAGGGAGGCTGATCAGGTGTGGAAGTTCTGCACTGAGCCCTGTTTCTGGGAGAGCCGCAGGAGCTCCTCGCGGATCGCTTTGATGAGGGATGCGGAGGAGTGGCCGGGCTGGAGGTCCTCTGTGGAGCTGGTGGGGTAACCCAGCCCAGGGCCCTGCAGCCCTCGGTGGGTGAGGTTCCCGGGAGGAGCTGAGGGCTCCCTGCCCGAAGTCCTTGGCACCTGAAACAGCGGTGAAGAAGAATACTCTTGATGTCCGAGCATGTGTGTCTGAAAGACATAGTAAACATTGTTACACTTCCCCTGTGAGAACAAAAGGGAAGACCAAACTGACAGTGGCGTGGGGGATGCGGAGCTGCCCTCCAGCCATCTCCCACGGACTCCCGCGGCCCTCCCCTGCCACCCACGTCCCTGTGTGTGTGTGCGGACAGGAGCCACTCTCACACACACACACACACACACACACACACACACACACACACACGATGGAACTCCAGAGGGGAGGAGCTAAAAGGGGTGACGAGAGCCCTTGCCTCCGCCCCGGCGCCCAGGGAGTGTGCACCAGAACATAGTGGGGCCTCAAGGCCGAGGCCAATCACAAAGTCATTTTCCATCTCCTCTGCTTTTGAGTAAGTGCCCATATTCTCACAACTCATCACTTCCTGCCTTCCCTTCTCAACTGCTGGGTCACAGGCAAATCCCTCCACATCTACCGCGTTTTCTGTCTTACCCAACTGTTACCTATCATGTTGGGGAAGTCCTTTGTCAATAAAGCACTGCTGGCCAATAGGAACCAAGATAGGTGGGACTAGGAGTCCAGGAGGACTCTGGGAAGGAGAAACACAGAGAGTCGAGATGTAACGCCATCGGGTAGGAAGCCCGGAAACTTCTCCAGTAAGAGACATACTTAGATTAACAATTATGGGGTAATTACTTAAGTCAGAGCTAGCTAGTAAGAAACAAGCAAGGCCAACAGCTTCATAATTAATATAGCCTCCTGTGTGTTTATTTGGGACTGATGTGGGAAGGCTTCTCTCAAGGAAAAGGTTTCCCTTTACACTATCATGCACTCTTTAGAGCCTTTTTTTCCAGTTTGTAAATTTATTTTTTACATTCCTATCCCAGTCTCCCCTCCCTCCTCTCCTCCTGCTCTCCCCACTCCCTCCCTCCTCCCATCTGCTCCCCAGATAGGGGAAGGCCTCCCCCAGGAAGTCTACTACGTCTTAGAGCTGTCTTTAAAAAGTAGGCTATTTTTGCTAGAAGACATTAATTCTTCTGCTATTGGTAGACTATCAATTGATTTGGCATTATTTTGGCAAGAATGACTGCATTTCTTCATTTTTTTCGGATCAGTGAACTAAGTCAGTTCAATCTGCTAAATCACAGGTGAGCTCACGACATTATAGGTAATCAGCATGCAGGTTTCACGAAGTCACCGTGCAGGTTGGTACACTAAGTCAGCGTTGTAAATGTGACGCAGTCATGGCCTCCTGTCCCTGACTGTTCTACATTCGCCACACTGTGACGAAGAAACACTTAAGTGAACACTGCTGGATTCAGCAGAAAACCCGCAACACTCCGCGCAATGAAGCCGGGCACATTAACAACAGAAAGTTGTCGATACACCTTAAGCAAACATCTGAGTTTAGCAAAGGACTTTTAGTGGAGAACCATACTCTTAGAGCTAAACTTCCTTTCACTAAGTAAAGGCTTCCAACTGTCTGGGCGGTGGTGGCGCACGCCTTTAATCCCAGCACTGGGGAAGCAGCGGCAGGCGGATCTCTGTGAGTTCGAGGCCAGCCTGGTTTACAAGAGCTATCTCCAAGACAGTCAGTGCCATACACACACAAAAAAGGCTGACTGTCTGAGGAATCTAGTGTGGCCACTGAGAAAGTAAGAAATTGAAATGCAAGTTGGCACACGGCAATGAGATTAAAACAAAGGCAGCTTCAGGTTTGCATTCTCAAAATCAGCTCGTTTATACCCCAAGATAGAAAAGTCTTTAAAAAAATTCTCTTTGTGTTTGTGTGTCTTTGTGTGTGCATGCACGCATGTCAGTGTGTGTGTATTTGTGTGTATACATGTGTGAGTGTGCACACACACATGTTGGTAAGTTCCCACTGAGGCCAGAAGAGGGCATCCCATCCACTGGAGCTGGAATTATTGGTATTGGAGAGCCATGGGTTCTAGGATTTGAACTTTGATCTTCCTGATTGAACAGTGAGTGCTCTTAACCATTGATGAGCTCCCTGGACCCATAAAATTCTTGAGAGAATAAGAAAAGAACTTGCAGATATTAATGGTGTTCACACTGAGTAGCTAGAAAGCAAAAGTTTGGGTGCCTTGAAATGCTCCAAGTCATGTCCTTATCACAAAACCATCCCAGGTGGCGGTCGGGGTCGGAGTGTCATCAGCAAGCCAGTGAGGATACAGAAAAGATTAGATCATGAAAAGCTACAGCGACCACACCAAAGAAGTAGTCTGGGCTTTATTTAGATCCATGACTTGAAACCCGAAAATCTGCCTCGGGGAAAATCACAACTATTCTGCAGGTAGACGGGAGTTTACCAAACTGCAAGCACAGTCAAGCTAAGAGGAGCCGAGGGGTGGAAGCCGCCTTAGCACAGCTTTAATACGTGTCAGAGCAGCTACACAGTGACTGTGTGAGCGCTAGCTGATGCCCAAGGCCCAGATACTCACGGCTTCTCTCCGCCCGGCCTCCTCCTCCCCGTACACGGGCCAGCCTGGTCCCCCGTACTGGCTGCCTCTGCCAGGAGGAATGTCCACGGGCTGGGCCCCGATTCTGCTTGCGATTCCCACCTGTGTGAGGTGCTGGATCTGCGAGCCTGAAAGAAACACAGCAGAGCCCAGGTCAGCACCCACAGCACATCCAAAGGCAGGCTGCCACGGACGCCTGCACCCACAGCACATCCAAAGGCAGGTTGCCACGGACGCCTGCACCCACAGCACATCCAAAGGCAGGCTGCCACGGACGCCTGCGGCTCGGACCAGGAGCTCCTTTAAGAATAGGGAAAACAGGAGTTTTTCAGACTCTGTGCTGATCTGGAATGTCTCTCCAAGTGGCTCTTCCTAAGACAGCGGGCGGGAGAGCTGTTTCCATTCCCCCTCACGCGTCCATGCCGCCACTGAGGCAAGGCCCTAACTCCCGGCTGGCTGCGGCTGCCATCAGATGTCTGGGGGTGAGGGATGGGTCACAGAAGGTGACTTGAAAGGGGCAGACTGTCCTGAGGCTGTAGAGACCCTGGAGCCTGGCTCCTTCCTGCTTGTAGCTCTGACGTTCACAAGGACATGAATGTATGCTGTGCTCTCTCTCTTTCTTTTTCTTCTTCTTAAAAAGCAGGTGAGAAAATTATTTAAATTCAGAATGTCAAGAGGACATTCCATGCTTCCACAACAGCCATGGCACAAGAAACCCCGCTCACCAGCTTACAGGCAGGAGGCAGTGAAGGCAAGGCCAGGCTCTTGGCTAATTCCCACGCCCAGACATCAGCATGGGTATGGTTACAAATGTCCCTGTCTTTCTCTTACCAGTGGTTGGCACGTGGAGATACCCCTACACTGCAATCAAGGAAGGAAAGGAAGGACCTTTATTTTATTTTTCTGTGGTGCTCAGGACCAGGTCCAGGATCTTGTATCTGGTAGGCAAGTGCTCACCAGCGAGCTAACTCCAAACTCCTAACACTTATCCCTGAGCGTTGTGAAATACAGAACGGAGTTCTAAACACTGCTAGGGTCGTTAAGTTTGTCCATAGTACAGAAGCTCTCTGGGGGCCCTTGGGGTAATGTGGCCTCTCCGTTTCAGCCCATCTTCATGCTGTCCGGTTACCCTCAGCTGAGAGACGACGTTTTAAAAGGAATTCTTCACCGGTCACATTTGAACAGCAATAACCGTTGGTCAGGAAAAGAAGCCTGGGCCTCAGCCTGGGCAGTGAGCGCCATGTGAGCAACGGGAAAGCCAGGGATACCATCTCCAGTGATGGCACTCTGCTCCAGACACAGGCCACAGGCCGGGCTAGTCTTTAGAGGTTATGGATGTGGTCCGGGAGGGATTAAAGACCACCTTTTGTGTTAAACCACACAGCGGCAGAAATCCTAATGCCCTGACTTTGAATATGGCTTTGATCCCATAACAAAACAGCACAGGCTCCCAGCCCTGGTCCTCCTGACTCTCCGCCCTGCTGGGCATCAGTACCAGTCACCACAGGGGGCTATTTCAGGAAACAGAGGCACAAGGGAGATCAAGCGCCCAGCATGGAGGAGGCAACTGGAGGGTCTTAAAGCCTTCCAAGCCTTTCTCCCAGTCTCTGCTCTCAATAGCTGCACAAGGAAGGCCAGGCGTGGTGGCACGCAGCTATAATCCGGGCACTCGGGAGGCAGAGGCAGGAGGATCTCTGTGAGTCTGAGGGCTAGCCTGGTCTACACGGTGAGTTCCGGGACAGCCAGACGAAAGTAGTGAGAAGTAAGAAGGACAAGCAGCTGTGCCACGCACTCACTGGCATCCAGGGGGTGACTTCCCTTTTCTTCTCCCCACTCTGACTAACGATGCGCCAAACATCCCGCTGCGTGTCATTCTGCCCTCAACACCCTGGATTTGGGAGCAGGGAGACTGTATATTCCAAGAAAAACAAAAACAACAAAACTCTACCGAATGAAATGCTCACGAATCCTACTTCCAAACTGATCCCCTAAACTCTCTCAGTACGAGATTCTGCTTCCTAACCGTTTCCCACCGCCTCACCTTCCCTGCCAAGAGGAACCGGAACCCTCTGCATGAGGCAGAAGGAAGCCTCCCCTCCTCAAGCTGCTCTGACTACCAGCAAGAACAGTAACTAGCACAGCCATCAGCAGCAGCCGCAATAGCGACACAGCCGAGGTGAGCTGAAGTGGGCGATACACCCCAGCACTGTTGGGGTCCCTTATGCTTATCGTCCTGATACACCCCAGCACTGTTGGGGTCCCTTATGCTTGTCGTCCTGATACACCCCAGCACTGTTGGGGTCCCTTACGCTTGTCTTGATACTCACTCCAAGCAACCTAGGAGCTCAGCACAGATGAAAACTTAATCCCCACACTCTCTTCTGCTGTTGCCATTCTCTTTGGTCTTAATAATAAGAACTCGGGAGTCAGCTATCAGGGAGTAAAAGAGAGAGAAGCACAGAGGCCAGACTCCGGAGTTCTTACTCTACCAATGCTCAGACCAAAGGGGAGGTCCTGTCACAACCAATCCTCAGGCTGACTGCCCCTCACTGAGCTCCTGTCTCCTCCTCCTTTTATTCCTCTCTCTGCCCAGCCATATCCTCCTGTCTCCACCTTCCTAGTACGGGGATTAAAGGCTTGTGATCCCAAGTGCTGGGATCACCTCTGTGTGAACGCTGTTTCTCTTTAGACTGGATCAATATCAAGTACCCCGGGTGGCCTTGAACTAACAGCTCCGTCTGCCCTGTCTCCTGATTGCTGGGGTTAAAGGTGTGTGCCACCACTGCCTGGCCTCTATGGCTAACTAGTGTGGTTAGTTCTGCACTCTGATCTGCAGGCAAGCTGTATCTGTTACAGCATAAACAAAATATCACCACAACCGGGTTTCTCTGTGTAGCTTTGGAGGCTGTCCTGGACCTTGATCTGCAGACCAGGCTGGCCTAGAACTCACAGAGATCCACCTGCCTCTGCCTCCCGAGTGCAGGGATTAAAGGTGTGCGCCACCACCGCCCAGAAAATCACTACATCTTTATGAACATAATCTCATGGTTGCATTTCAAGTTTAACCTACACTTCTCTAGTTGTTTTTGACATTTTAAAAGCTCTTTTATATGGTGTAAATGCACACTTGCATGCACACATACACACCCCTACACTTCTGTGAATTGTTCCTTCCTGTTCTCTGCTTATGTCTTCTGAAGGTTCCCTACTTATCAATTTTTATGATGATCCTCTGCTATAAGCCTCTTTCTCATAATATCTTGCAAACTTTTCTTATTTTTCTTTTGTTTATCTATGTGGCTCTGGCTGTCTTGGACCTCACTATGTAGACTAGGCTGGTCTTGAACTCACAAGAGATCTGCCTGCCTCTGACTTTCAAGGGCTGGGATTACAGGTGTGTAGCGGTGTTGAGGAACACAGTTTTATGCAGTATTGAGGAGTGGCCTTGTGTACATCAGGGACGTACATTATCAACTGAGCTACAGTCCCAGCCGCACATTTGATGATTTTCTTATAATTAAAAAGTAATTCTAGAAGCTGGAGATGGTTCCTCAGTTAAAAGAGCACTAACCACTCTTGCAGAGAACCTGGGCTCAGCTCCCAGCACCCACAAAGTGGCTCACAACCCTCTGTAATCCCAGTTTTAAAAGACCCAACACCAGCCGGGCGGTGGTGGCGCACGCCTTTAATCCCAGCACTCGGGAGGCAGAGGCAGGCGGATCTCTGTGAGTTCGAGGCCAGGCTGGACCGACAGCCTCGAAAACAATACAGAGAAACCCTGTCTCGTAAAACCAAAAAAAACAAAAAAGCAAAAAAACAAAAAAGACCCAACACCGTCTTCCGGCTTCCCCAGTCACTGAGTACATGTGCATAGACAGACAGACAGACAAAACACCCCATATACATAAAGTAAAATAAATAAATCTTAAAAAGACTATTCCAGGGGTTGCATGGGTGGCTCAGCGGTTAAGAGCACTGACTGCTCTTCCAGAGGACCCGGGTTCAATTCCCAGCACCCACATGGCAGTTCACAACTGTCTGTAACTCCAGTCCCAGGGGATGTGACACCCTCACACAGACATACATGCGCAAAACCCCAATGTACATTAAGTAAATAAATAAATCTTTAAAAAAATACTCTTCCAGTAGATAGAAACGTTTTCCAATATAAACAATTACGCAATTTCTATCTTAGCAATGGTGGCATACACCTTTAATCCCAGCACTTGGAAGGCAGAGACAGGTAAGTCTCTGTGAGTTTAGGCCTGCCTGGTCTACAGAGTTAGTTCCAGGACAGCCAAGTAGTTACACAGAGAGACCCTGTCTCAAAAATTAAAAAATTACATAAGTTCATCTCTTGTTAGAAATTATCTCCAGGCAGTGGTGTCGCACGCCTTTAATCCCAGCACTCGGGAGGCACAGGCAGGTGGATCTCTGTGAGTTCGAGACCAGCCTGGTCTACAAGAGCAAGTTCCAGGACAGTCTCCAAAGCTACACAGGGAAACCCTGTCTCAAAAAACAAAACAAACAGAAAAAAAAAAAAGGAAGAAAGAAATAATCAGCAGACAGATTGTAGCTGAACATGACACATACAATCTCTATGTTCATGTTTTTTTTTAAACTGAAAACTAACGCATCTGCATTGGGTGAGCACACCTGCAGTACAGCAAGGCCCAAACACATGAGCAACAAGAGGACAAAGAACAGGACCTGGAAAGTGGGAAATTCCAGAGAGCATCAGGATACATTGTTCTGTGGATAGCAGACAATGAAAACTACGAGAATATTCTAGAACAGCACAATAGAAAAATATCTAGTGTGGTGGTTTGAACAGAAATGACTCCCATAGGCCCATAGGGAGTGGCACTGTTAGAAAATATAGCCTTGTTGGAGGAAGCGTGTCACTGGGGTTTCAAATGCTCAAGCCAGGCCCAGTGTGCATCTCTCTGTTCCTGCTGCCTACCGATCCAGAACTCTCAGCTATCATGCTGCCATGACGCTAACAGACTAAACCTATGGACCATAAGCCAGACTCAACCCAATGCTTTCTTTTATAAGAAACACAATGCCAAGGCCATGGCGTGTCTTCACAGCCACAGAACTTTGACTAAGACATCTAGCAATCACTGAAAATTTGGAATTAGCCTAAGCTGCTTTCCTGATGACATCATAGAAGTGTGTGTGTGTGTGTGTGTGTGTGTGTGTGTGTGTGTGTGTGTGTGTGTATTCTGCAGAGAGAAGCTTCAGGCTGGCTTCACAGAGGAGGGGGAGGGGATGACTAGGGAGGGGCAACAGAGTGAATGGGCTTAAGTCATAAAACACACCAAGGTGATTTTGCAAAATATACCAGAAATAGTACGAGCCTGGGAAGGGCCCTGAGCTCAAGCAGCACAGATGCTGGAAACAGGACTCACTCACAAACAGCTCTCAGCACGGGCTCTTCATGAGCCAGAAGGCTATAGAAGGAGTAAAAGTCTGAAGCTTGGGTAAGCTTCAGGGGTAACACCAACAGCTACCACAGTGAACCCCCGCACTGCTGCGGTAGCCTCTGCTTGCCCACCAAAGAGCAGTGCCCCCCCCCCCACGGAAACCCGAAAGGGTCACACAGCTGTTCCACTTACACCTCTGGCGAGCCAATCCAAGGAAATAATTTATCAAGTTTATTCGTAGGGTGCCGGAGACTGCTCGGCGGGTAAACGCCCTTGGCACAGAAGCCTGACCACCCGAGCTGGAGTCCCAGAATCTAAAAGGCAGCACACATCTGTAATCCCAGCACTCTTAGGGAGAGATGGAAGGTATCGATCGGGCCAGCTACACTGGCTGGCATGGCCCTACACGGGAAAATGCAAGCTCAGTCACCGTACCCACCTGTGGCGCCCCCGACAGGCCGAGGCCGAGCCACGGACGGCATCTCCTCGGAGTAGATCCCTCGGGCAGCAAATGGAGCTTCAGCTGATGACTGTGGCTGTGAGGGCTCAGGGGGGACCAACTCTGAAGCCGGCAGCAAGCCCGGGCCGAAGCTAGGTCTGCTGGGAGAGCACAGCAGGAGTCAAAAGCCCTTACCTGGCTCTAGAATGCCATTAGGCTAGCTAGCGCCCCCTACAGGGATTAAGATGGCTTCCCCTAATTATCTATCTCTTCGGGAACATAAGACATTCTCTTGCTCCCTAAACTACAACTTTCCTGTTTGTTCAGGGCGCTACCTGAGTACTAAGTCTAGAAGACTACCATGAAAAGAAAGGAGAGAGGAGGGAAGGGGAGGGAAAGAGGGGGAAGGGACGGTAGAGGAGAGGGGAGGCACATGACCGGAGCCCCGCTTTTCAGTCTGGCTTCCACGCTGCACCCCAGAAAGATGCAACCCAGGCATAAGCTGTTTGGAAAAACTCCACATTCGTTTGTCCATCAAGACGGAAAGCCAGTTTGAGAAGTGTTCTAAAACTTTTTAAGATCTGAACCCCTTTAAACTTAGAAAAAAAATCATTGAGGGATCCTAAGAGCTTTTATGTGGATTCTATCCACAAATATAACTTTATGGTAAGCTAAAACTAAGAGCATTTGAGAACACTTACTTTAAAGGTCTGGTAAAAGCACAAGCCCATTACATGCTAGTACAACTATCCTCAGGAATTAATGTCCCCAACCACTCCCAGTTAGTGGAAGGTGCCTGAGATTTGACTCAAATGCCTTTCACAGAGATTCTCACCCAACTGTTTTATTTTCTAGAGAATACTTTATTAGTTTCTGTATTCAAACCCACATAGATAAGACCATACATATTTAATACAGTGTATCATCCCTGTACAAATGGGAAAAAACTTCTAGAACAACATGAATGTTGAGTTTTGTACAATGTCAAGTAAACATGATAAACTGGGGATACTTTCTTCCCCCCCAAAATCAGCAGTGCAGTTAGTTTTCAAAAATCCAAGTTACATATATGCACATACATATTTATGTTTCTATAAAAGATCAGTAGCAGCAGAACGTCATGCATCAACAGCACTAACAGCGTTCCCAGGTTCTGCAGTCATTTTAACAAAATTATAGATATCCAGCACACTCCATTAAAAAAAAGGTAAAAAACAAAATCCCTCCAAACAGCACAGTTTCCCATGTGCTTCATATCGTCATCTGCCATGTGTTACTTTAGGAGAATCTGCCCTTACACAGGGTGTGTGTGTGTGTGTGTGTGTGTGTGTGTGCACGTGCGTGTGTGTGTGTGTGTGTGTGTGTGTTGTGTGTGTGCACACGTGCTAGTGATTTGCTAGGAAACACTCCAATCATCATTTCACACACTGCTTGATTTCACACCAAAACTCTGGAATCTGACACAGGACTCCAAAGGGACTTCCCACACTCTGTTCCATTAAAACCCACTGCTCTGTCTTATGACATCTGTCATTTGGAAAATGCAAACTATGAAGAGTCTACAGATATGGACACACTTAATTTCATAATAGTAAAAAAAAAAACCTATTGAGCTCATCCAGAAAAACCTGTAGATGCTCGGACACTGTCAAGTTCACAATACAGACACAGGTTAACAGATGCCTAATTTTCGGTGGAATAGGCAGGACAGAAATTCCTCCTCTTGGACATGTCTGTGACTATCCATCCAGTTAAAATTTTTGTTTAGATTTATTTAATTTCATGGTATATGAATATTTTGCCTGCATGAATACAAGTGTGCCATGTGTAAACCTGGTGCCCTTGGAGGCCAGAAGAGGACATTTCGTGTCCCCTGAAACTGGAGTTATAGATGGTTGTCTGTCACCACGTGGGTGCTGGGAACCAAACCCTGATCCTTTGCAAGATCAACAGGTGCTCTTAACTGTTGAGCCGTCTCTCCAGCCCCTTACTGCCTGATTTTTATCTTCTTAAATTTTTTTAATTATCTGATTTTAAAAATCACTGCTTGCTCATAAATATTTTCAACTTGGGTGAATTCTACTTGGCACATCTACTGAGCAGGCTCAGAGCTCATTGTCAAAATACTCCTCTATGTCTTATTCGCTAAGACTCTTAGCACAAATGGATGCTGTTTCATCAAATGCTGTATCTACCGAAATGGCGTTTTGCCTCCTTTGTCCTCTTTGAAGGAGTACATTACATGGCTTGGTTTTTAACATGCTCAATCACCCTTGTGTGCTAAAATCAGTCCAAGTCGGTTGCAATACAACAGCCTTTATATATATTGCTGCAAGCTTGTAAATATTTGGATTCATATTCTTCCTAATTTTGTTTAATGAGTAAAACTGCCCTTAATGTTTCCATTTTCACAAGGTCCTTGTTCTTCTAATTCATCTTTTCCTGGCTCTCATACAGTAGCAGAACTTAAATTCTGATATCGTGTGTGTGTCTGTGTGTGTGTGTGGTGTGTGTGAGTGTGCGTGTGGTGTGTCTGTGTCTGTGTGAGTGTGTGTATGGTGTGTCTGTGTGGTGTGTGTGTCTGTGTGTGGTGTGTGTGTGTGTGTGTGTGTGTGTGTGTGGTGTGTGTATGGTGTGTGTGTGTGTGTGTGTGTGTGTGGTGTGTGTGAGTGTGTATGTGGTGTGTCTGTGTGTGTGTGTGTGTGTGTGTAGCTATGTATGAACGTGTGTTACGGCACACATAGATCAGAGGGCAGCTTGCTGGAGTCAGTTTTCCGCCTCCTACTGTGTGGGTTCCAGTGAACTCAGGTCATCAGGCTTGGTGGCACTCACCTTTATCCACTGAGCCTTCTTGCCTGCCCAAGTCCTAACACTTGTTCCACAAGCATTTTACCACTGAGCAATCTCCCAGAGTGCACAGTTTACCTCTTCTGATTAGGTCAAGAAAATACACAACCCAGAGTTTGGTAACTGTTCAAATTTTTTAAAAAAATATGAGCCTGTAAGTTGGAAAAAAAAAACAGTCTTCCTGAGAAAACCATGATGGGACTTCTTCTGGAAACCTTACCTTGGTAACGGGCCTGATGGGGGAGTCATTCCATAGTCTTCATATCTCTAGGGGAAATTAAAAAGAACACAAAAATAAGCATTTAATACTCATTATAAAATGACACAGAGAGAAACAGAGCTCACACAAAGGTGACTCCAGCACTTGTAATCCCAGTGCTTTCAATTGCAGCACTAGGGAGGTGGAGACAGGAATAATGTGGCTGGGTGGAGAAAGGAATATAAGGCAGGAGGAGACAGGAACTCAGATGCAGTCTGAGGTTTCTGAGAGGCAGAACAGCCTGAGAGGCAGTGAGTCTGAGGAAGCAGTCTGAGGATGCAGTCTGAGATGCAGTCTGAGGATACAGTCTGAGGATGCCGTCTGAGAGGCAGTGTGAGGATGCCGTCTGAGGATGCATTCTGAGGAGTCAGTCTGAGGACAGGATCACCCCTTTGGTCTGAGGATTCAGTAGAGATGAGAGGTCTCTTTTGTGGCTCCTTTACTTCTCTGACCTTTGACCATTTACCCTGATAACTGACTCCAGCTTTTTATTATTGGGACCTGTTGGGTAAGTCCTGTTATTTGCCTGTGCATTTGTCAATAAAGTACTGTCTGGCCAATAGAAAACCTAGATAGGAGGGACTAGGAGTCGAGGAGGATTCTGGGAAGGGGAAACACAAGGGAGTCAACATGTGACGCCATGGGGGTAGGACGCCGGGAACTATTCTCCGGTAAGAAACATACTTAGATTAACAATTATGGGGTAATTACTTAAGGCAGAGCTAGCCAGTAAGGGACAAGCAAGGCCAACAGCTTCATAATTAATATGGCCTCCTGTGTGTTTATTTGGGACTCATGCGGATCTAGAACCAGGCTGGCGCGGCAGAGCCCAGGCGACTGGCGGGGGATAAACCAAAGCGGCTAGCAAAAGAAAAAGCTTCTCTTAACAGGGACCAATTAGAATTCGTGCTACAGGACTTCACTATACAGACCAGGCTAACCTCAAACTTACAGAAATCCGTCTGCCTCTACCATCCGAGCACTGGGATTAAAGGCGTGCGCCACAATGGCCAGCAAGAACTGCTTTCTTATTACAATTGAGCATGCTACTGGGGTCCTCCACCCAAACAATGATGCAAGTTTTCGACTGACGGACATCTTTATAGTTTCATTTTTTGCTTTACGTGCAAGGGTGTTCTGCCTGTGTGTACATCTGCGCGCCACGCGTGTGCAGTGTCAGCAGGGCCACAGAAGGCACTGGGTCCCCTAGAACTGGAGTTACATCGGCTGTGGGCCACCGTGTATAGCTGCCAGGCTGTCTCCACCCTGTGGGCCGACCTGTCACACTAGGGATTGCTTTCTTTACTGTATCTGAGCAATTTCATTTCACGCCATCCCATTTGTCAGGTCTTGGGATTAGTCTGTGTGCTGCTGGAGCCAAACTTTAGAACTATAAAGTTTACAACTGGGTGAATTAAAGGCTTTCGATGGAAAAGGAAAGCTTCCATTTCTTCAGGGGAAAAAATGTAGCAAATGAATGACTGGTTCATCTAGCTAGTGTATCATTACCTGGGGAGACTGCCTGGCTGTGGGGGGGGCGGCATTTAATGCCCACCTCTGTCAGAGCCACAGCAGTCTGGGATAGGGATGTAGCCCAACAGCAGACCGCTTGCCTGACACACCCAAGACGTGAGCACAATCCTTGGCAATAAAGTAAGAGCAACTGTCAAACTGAATACCTTTTTTCTTTTTATTGGAAAACATTCCCATAGATTTTTGGGTTAAAATCTTTGCTAGCATAGAAAGCAGTGGATTTCAACCTGGCAGTGGCGGCTCACGCTTTTTTTTTTTTTTTGGTTTTATGAGACAGGGTTTCTCTGTATTGTTTTGGAGGCTATCGGTCCAGCCCGGCCTCGAACTCACAGAGATCCGCCTGCCTCTGCCTCCCGAGTGCTGGGATTAAAGGCGTGCGCCGCCACCACCGCCCGGCGTGGCTCACACTTTTAACCCCAGCATTTGGGAGGCAGAGGAACTCACTATCTCTGCGTTCTAGGCCAGCCTGGTCTACAGAGCGAGTTCCAGGACAGCCAGGACTACACAGAGAAATCGTGTCTCGGAAAAGAAAAAAAAAACATTAAAAAGGAAAGGAAAGCTACAAGTGGTGGATCTCACTGTGGCATTTTCACGCATGCGTGCATTTATGCCTTGTTCTCTTTCCTCCCTTTCCTCAAACAGCCTCTGCTCCTGCTTTCACGTCACGCGTGTCCCAACACCCGCTTCTCCTTGGGACCTCTTCCTGTCTGTCCCTCGAGGACCCTTTTCTACGTTCACGCTCTACATATACATAAAACACAAATCTAGATTGTACAGACAGGAGAAAACATACTATTTGTCTTTCTGAGGCTGGCTTATTTGCTTAACACAATGACTTCTGGTTCTATCCATTCCCCCATGGACGTCACGGGTTCACTCTTCCTCACGGCCGGGTACAGTCCCATTCCATACGCAACACATCTTCTTCTGTTCACCTGCTGACAGGCGCGTAGCTGGTTTCACACGCAGCCATGTGAACGGTGCGACACTTCAGGGCTGAGGAACCACCGCAGTGGCTACTTCCGTTTCCGTTCCCATCGAGAACAAGCGTTCCTCTCCCCACATTATCCCAGCATCTGTGTTTATCCTTCTTTCCTCTTCCTTCATCTCAGACAGGATCTCACTATGTAGCCCTGGCTGTCCTGGAACTCACTGTGTAGACCAAGTTAGCTTACACTGCCTGCCTCTGCTGAGCTAAAGGCATGCGTCACACCTCACTGATTATCTAGATACAAATCCCTCGTCTCGTGTGTTTTCAAGTAGCTTAATGTTTATTATTGGAAAACTAAGTTTAGTAGTAAAAACAGTAATGACGAGATGGGACGGTATTTCCCCAACACAGACTATCTCTGCATCTCTCGCATTAAAGGAAATAATCAACATTGAAAAGAATCACACCAACCGTAGAGATGAATATTCCATCCATAGACACATATGTATGTACACACACACACACACACACACACACACACACACACACATACTGAGAGATAGCTAAGACACCCCCCAGGATTGCCTTAGCACAGGTTTAAAAGAAAATGAGGAAAGCCCAGTATAAATACTCACCAGCCAATGCATTTACATTGTAACCTATTAACTTTTCTCTGGAGTTAACAGGTCACAAGCTTTTAGTGCAATCATTTCATCTGAAACTGGTGGAAAGCAGTGTGAGTGTCATTTCCTTGTGTGTCCCTCTCTTAAAGAGAATTGGGGGGTGGCATGGTCAGTAAATCGCTTGTTGTCTGGGTTTGAGGACCCTGAGTTGGATCCCCAACACGCACATCATAATCCAGATACACGATGGCATGCGCCTGTAATCCCAGTGCTGGGAGGCGGAAACAGGAGGAGGATCCCTTTGGTTTCCTGGCCAGCCAGCCTCTATGAACTCATCAGCTTGAGAGGAAGGCCCGCCCCCCTCAACAAAATGGACAGCTCCTAAGGAACGGCACCCAGGTCTGGCCTCTGGTCCCCCACATGCATGTGCAGCCACATACATCCACATGTGAAACAGCGCCAACCCCATCCCCCAGCCACACATACACACCCACTGCGCTTGGACTAGTGCCTCTGCTTTCCCAGCCGTGGGAACATCTCCATGACCAGGTGGTTTGAGAACAAGTTAGACAATTTGAGTAGTTTCTATCCTGATCCCGTTAACAGAATCAACAAGAATGCACGCTGACAACATATCTCTTCTTCATGACCCTATAAGGAAGCTGGGAAGACGGGCCTGCATCACCACCCGCATCCCTCCCACACGGAAGGATGCTTCCAACACTAAGAATTAATGGTAGCAGAGGATAAAGACTAAGACCTGCCAGGCAGCTTTAAATCTAATCAAATGCAGCCCAGGTTCTGCAGGGAGTCTTCAAGCGGCACGGTTAGGTAACAAAACTCAAACGCCGTGCCCAGAAGAGAATTCTAGGAGGCCAGTACTCACGCTGCTGCAAGGGTTGTTGGCCGTCTGGGCTGGACTGTAGAAAGACCCCCACTGCGTGGCTCGCCTTTCTTCCCTGGCAGGGGTGCTATTCACGGGCAGGCTGGCCGGCACCCCAGGACCTGCTCCCAGGGCATTGGCAGGCTGGCTGCTGGGAGCCACGAGGGCGAAGGCGTCATCCAGGAGGGAGTGCATGGTCTGGCGTGCCTCCTCGATGGACTGCTGGGGCGGGAAGTACTGAGAGGCGGAGAAGGGCAAGCCGGGATACCTGCTCAGCTCGGCAGAGGACGGCGGTGTCTGCACATCGGCCGGGAGGTCAGGGTCAGACTGCGTGAGAGGCAAGGAGAATGAATGAATGAACCAGTGCTTCCACGGGCGCCGGGGGCGGAGGCGCAAAGTGGAATTTAACAATGGTTCTGTGTGTGGGAGAGGGTTTGTCATAAGAACTAGGGCTCGTCTGCATAATACGCATCTCGTTTAGTGGGGGACAAGGACCTCAATAGGAGAAAAACCGAAGTGGGAATATTCCAGCTTTTTCTGTAAAACTCCACTATGTGAAATGGATTTCAGAACCACGAGGTAGACATCTTCCCTGAGAACCTAAGTAGCCACAATTCACACTTCAAAGTGCACACTCTACACAAAATCCAGTGGACTTTCCGTGGGTGTAAAAAACCAAAAGGAGAAGACTATTAACAGCCAGGAGACACCATGTCTGTGCATAAATAATTCAAATACCTGTCTAAAAGCTGCTTACCATAGTAAATAGTAATAAATACTCAGAAATTATGTCTCTAAAATGGAGGTATCTGATTCACTGAGAAAAGTTCAATGTCTATACCTACAGTTTAAGAAGCAAGAACCAGGAAAACCTCAGTGGTCATACTTTACAGGACACAGAGACAGTTTAACTTTTGGAGCAGGACAGACAGGTTCTGAGGATGGGAAGGGTGGCTCCTTTGGGTTCTCCCTGGCACAGGAATCCTACCTGAAACCTAAAAGGAGAGCCACAAAGTCAGAACTTCCCACTCCTCTGTCTCCTCGCCAACTCTCTGTCTCAGCCTCCACTGTCAGAACCCGACACACAGTTAAGACTTCCTAAGGTGCTTGCTAGGCTGGAACTTAAATTCTACTCTCTTGAATTCCAGTCTTCAGATGCCGTTCCGTTTCGTTCAGACATGAGCAAACATCAGCTCACCCCAGATAGGGCACCGAACCCCCAACTCCACTCAAGTGTAGCCAGGAGCTTCCCTAGGGCGGCTTACGGGAGAAGTGAGACTCAAAGAGGTCTGGGCGAGCGGCAGACAGCTACGCCATCAACAAAATCTGCCTCCTGGCAATTATTAATCCGTATGCGTTCTTCAGAAGGGAGGACCTTTGGGTTTCCTGGGCCTCCTCGTGACCCTCTCCTGCCTGCCTCAGGGTAAATACAATGGCTCTGATCTCCAAACAGCAATGGCCCGTGTCCTGTCCAAAGGCCGGCTGTTTACAAATGCCCGTCGTTCCTCAGACCTACACACGGAGCTCTTCTAGACATTGTGGTTCACGCCTTGCGGTGGCCGCTTTGCAGCCTTTAGTGGGCTCTTCAGAGAGCAGCCTTGCATCCTGACTTAGGTTTGTTCCTGCTGCCCTGGCTTAATCATTAATAACACTTCCTTTCTCTTCCAAGAGCATCTGGTTTGCACACTAAACGACATAGGGTGGTCAACAAACTTGCAGGGTTTTGTTGCTGTTGTTGTTTTAATGAGATAGGATCTTTCTAACTCCAAAATCCTGGGCTCAAGCAGCCGCCTGGCCACAGCTGGGACCATGGATGGGTACCAGCAGGCCCGGTGCCAACAAAAACTTTGAGTCAAGAGCCAGACAATAAATATTTTAGGTTCTGCAAGTCATAAAAGTCTGTCACAACGCAACTCAAAAAGGCGGCCAAAGACAGAATGTAAGCAAGGGCGTGGCTCCCTTACAAAAAGGCCAGTGTTGATCCAGACAACAGCAGGCGGGGTGCGGCCCTAGCACAGGAGTCTCCCAGGCCCAAACTAGAGTGGAGACTGGCCAGAAGGGGTTGATGATCTGAGGGCAGCCCTCAGGGAGAATCTACTTCCAGAGAAAAACCAGGTAGCACACATATGCCCTTGAAGGTAAAAAATCTAGCTAGGAAAAGGTGGACTCTGAGAAAAGGCATTGTTTCTGAAACACGCATCACAGAACTTCAGGCAGAGTCAAAAGCCAAGTACATCTGGGGAGGACTTTCTGAGAGGGACTCATTGGAAAGGCAGCCCTGGTGACAAAGTCCAAGGAGGTTCCAGGAAGGCTCTTCCCATCGACTCCTGGAGGAATCCTGCACTTCCCGTGAAAGACGGAAATGGAGGAAACTAAGGGAGGTCCGAGCCAGGCACGGTGGCATCTGCCTGTAGTCCCGGCACTCAGGAGGTTGCTGGGACTAGGATTCTGAAGCTAGTCTGGGCAACGCAGCAAGATTTTGTTCCCCCAAATTAAGTTAAACCCAAAAGGAGGGTCCAGGACACCACAAAGAAAGCCTGACATTTGGTCATCAAGGAGAAAGAATGAAGGAAAAACACTCCCTACACAAAATGCAACAGGACGGAACTTAAGGGAGGCTAGAAAACAAGGATCTCCTGCAGGCCCCCTTGGGAGGATGAGCCCAGGCTGGGCAGGAAAGGCAGTGGGGAAGACAAAGGAATCTGTTTCTTCCTCTATGACTAACTAGTTCCACAAAACCACCGGTGGATACATGGAAGGCCTACAAGTACGGCTTCTTTAGACCGAGCCTAACACCACCAGCGTTTGGACACGCTTCCCAAACACTCCAGCAGGACAGGAACACCCACCTGTTGCAGAAAAAGCTGGTGTGTGTGTGTGTGTGTGAATTTTTATGTGTGTTTGTGTGTATGTTTGTTTGTGAGTGAGTTTATGTGTTTGTGTGTGTATGTGCCTATGTATGTTTGAAGGGGACTCCTTCCTGGTCAGGGAGCACTGCATTGAGAGAGAGAGGAAGAGGAACTACTCGATTCCTTTGCTCTACAGTGGCATCTATAGTTAGCAGCTCCAGCTCTCAAGAGCCCTCATGAGCTGAGTGGGTTATAAAGGTCACAGCTGGGCTTCAGAGCCCATTAAGCTCGCAAAGAAGAACCTGTTTCTTCCAGACGATCTCGATGGAATTAAGACTACAGCCCCACGTCAGCACAGTGCCTGGCACATTCGTACGCACGTTTTGAACATTTTTTCATGTTAGTTATGTGTCATTTAGGGGAAAAAATGGAAACTTCAAATAAACTTAAGCGCGACCAAGCAATTGTGTCTGATGCAACACCTTCTCTAGGGACATGCTTGCTGCTAAGGTCACGCAGACAGAGCTGGCTCTCTAAGTTTGCTCAGCATAGTAGGGCTGAGGCCTTTATGCTGCCCCTGCTGCCAGGGAGCTGTGTCCTTTGGACTCTCACTCTTTTTCCAAGGGCATCTTCGTGTCTCTTGCTAATGGTCCCTCAAGAAGCTAGGTTCCTTCTTCGATGGTGCCTGTGTGTCATAATGTATCAACGTCTGCCCTCATCACTTCAAGCCACACTGTCTGTGTCCACTTCCATTTTTAAAAAGGGTTTTCATTCTTTGATTTCCACTGAGCTCTTTTTTCCATGAAAATATACATGCATGTATGTATGTATGTAAGGTTGACAACCCTAATCTCAAATCAGAAACTTTCTGACATGATGCTTAGTTTTTGAACATGTCAAGTTGTAGACTCGTTGCAGACTCTCCTATCTGGATGTTCAACTGGTGAAGTTTGCACGCACATTCCAACATATCCGGTACCCGAAGCAGTGTGGACCCAGCATTTTGGATAAAGGAGACTCAACTGTGTGATACACTCTATGAGCGTGGGGGTACACAGACAAAACAGGAAATATTCCCCCCCAAAAAAAACCCCTGACAACCATCAGAGCAGAGAGAGAAAATCTGGACATTCTTGCTCTTCCAATTAACTCCAGGAAGCTCCCATTCTGAAAACAGATGGGTTAACACAGAGAGGAAAGTCTGGGTCACGCTCTCAGAGGTGTCACCAGCAGTTCCTGGGGATATGACTCCTCTGCCCTGTGTGCACATGGCCTGCGGGCGCTGGCAGTCACTGTGCACAGGACAAGCGCTGGGCGCCCTCCTCAGAGCTCGCACGCTGGCTCCCAGGGGCTCGGGACCACGCACCGGGCATCCAATGTACGCAGAGTTGTGCACACCCGGGGGGCGCTTGTACGTGCCGTCACTGTCTGTAGTGATGAGTCTGTCCTTCTCAGCATCAGCGGGACAGCCGTTGACCTGATGCTTCCGGCGTGGCTTAGGAGAACGTTTTACCCGTGAGCTGACAGGGAAAAACAGGGATTATCTTCACGGGAAATAAACCTGCTAGCCGCTGGCTTGCCAACTTGACACCCAGTGTTTTCTGAATGCCTACGATGGGCTGGCCACTGTAGGAAAAGCTCCAGAGGCTCTGACAAAGTGATAGCCACAGTCTGGGTCCTATGGGCCAGACCTAACTAAAAGAGACAACAGAGACAGCAGAGCAGTCTATACTCAGGACATCAGTTGCCGATCCAAAAGTGGCGGGTCCCGCAGAGAGCTATTAATACCCACAGGTGACCTGAATGGGGGGGGGGCAGATCTGAGGCTGAGGAGGGACAGAGGCGCCTAGGAAGTGCCAGCCCAGAGACGGCTGCAGATAAATCTGGGGGCAAGATCAGAGGGGCATCCGTTGGCAGCCCTGTGCAGCTGGCCACAGACAGAACCGAAATAGAGGAGGCCCACCTGCCCCAGGGGTACAGGTTCGGGCATAGAATTACTTTATTTATTTCTTAGAGTATAGGTGTTTGCCTACCAGAAAAAGAGCACCGGCTCCCCTGAGGCTGGAGTTGGAAGTGGTTGCGAGTCACCATGGAGGTGCTGGGGAATGAAACCCAGGTGCTCTGGAAGAGCAGCTAAGGCTCTTACCTACTGAGCTATTTACCCAGCCCCGACGTACTGATGGGGAGGCGGGGCGTGGAGACCTGCCCCATTCCCCTGTGACTATCCAGGGGACCAAAGAGGTGAGGAGTAACCGGAGGGGTGGGAAGAGCTAAATGGGGTAGGGGGAAGCTGGCTGTACAGGGAAGCTAGACCATGGTTTTGTCAGACAGAGGAAGCCGTCTGGGCTAGCGCTGGGATGTGGAGATTCGGAACCCTCTTCCTCCTCAGCTCCTTCCCCCTCCAGGAGCCAGCTCTGCGACTCCCTGCAAGACTGTGAGGGAAACCTCTTCAATTCACTACTGTCACAGACTGCCATTTGGATGTGACCAGGGTTTCTGCCCGACCACCCCGGGGCCCAGCCCACCTCTTCCTGGGCTCTATGAACACAGAGGGCACACTGGCCGCGGGGTCCAGGATCTTGTCAATCTGCATCTGCGCCCTGCGGTACACTCGGTGCCGCTCCTTGGTGTCACCGGAAGACAGGTCGTCCACCACGGGGAACTCGTAGTGGCCTCGGCGTTTGGCACGCAGGCGGATCTTGTTGCGGTGATGCTCGATCTCCGACTTGTGGCGCAGCGCCGACTGGATCTGCGTGCAGGGGGTGGGCGGCATAGACAATGACTCAGGCGGTTTGCTGGGGTTTCTGGGACACGTCCTCCGAAAGCTCCTCTTAGGGATGGCGTCCCTTCCCCCCAACTCGCTCTGTAGACCTGATGGAGGCACCCACGGAGGCACCAGGGGACGGACACCGCCTACACCGAGTGGCAGAGAGCCAGCCATGCATTCCCTGATGAGCACCAGTTTAGGGAAGGCTGGGCATCTCCAGGCTAATCCCAGTGTTCAAAGCCAGGGGCGGCTGAGGCGGAGAGCACAGCCTCTCAGAGGCAGCCTTCTCGGGGAGGCTGCTACTTTAACCCCCTTCTGCTGATCTTGTCAGAGCCCATCACTGACCCTGACCAACGCTGAGGGCTAAAAGGAATCAAGTGTTGGGGAGGGCTCTGGCACAAGGAGGGGCAGGCAGTTGGTGACCTCTTTTCTTCAGGGGTGTGGCTACTGCTGGGTGCCCACACCCAGTGGGTGGGGTTTATTATTAACGATGATGATGATGAGAGGATGACATGAAGTTGGGAGGGACATAGGTCTGGGGGGGTCTGGGGAGGGCTGGGAGGTGGATACACTGCATGTACCAAATTTTCATAGAATAAAACATTAAAAAAAACATATAGCGTGTGTGTGTGTGTGTGTGTGTGTGTGTGTGTGTGGTGTGTGTGTGTGTGTGTATGTGTGTGATTCTTTCTTGATTTGTTTTCTGATTCTGAGACAGGGGCTTTCAGTGCAGCCTGGGCTATGTGGCCCGGAATGGCCCCTCTGTCTCAGCCCCCAGGGTGCTGGGGTTACAGGCCTATGTCACCATGCCCGGTGCTCTGAACCAGGCCCACCTGCAGCGAGTCGTGCCTGCTCTGAGCAACTGTCTGATGCTGGGCCTTTCACTAGTTGTCACTCCTTGTCCTAGCACTGACCAAATCGGGACGCGAGCTTTTTTGTTAATTCTCTTCCCTCGAATACCTCCTTGTTGATTTTGTTGGTCTCTGCCACTCGGTCGGTCAGGGCGGGGTGCTGCACGGGGGCTGCTGGGATCGGCTGCATGGCAATAAGCTGGATCTTACTGGGGACCCTCCGGCTGGCCTCTGAGGTTCGGGAAATCCTGTCAACGTGCTCAAAGATGGAGGCCGAGGAATGCTGCTCGTTGCCTGAACTGGGCTGGGGGGCACCTGGAACAGAAGGGGACACATGAGCGGGAAGCACTGAAGAGCAGCTAGGAGTCAGAGTCACACCACCCGAGAGCATCCTGCCTCATCTCTGACCAAAACAACTGGGATCTCTAGTTCAGCGTACGTGGTGTATGTTAAATTATATTTTGTCTTCATTAACAACTACAAATGAGAAGCCGTAGTGGTGCACACCTTTAATCCCAGCGCTTGGGAGGCAGAGGCAGGAGGATCTCTGAGTTCGAGGCCAGCCTGGTCTACAGAGTGAGTTCTAGGACAGGCTCCAAAGCTACAGAGAGAAACCCTGTCTTGAAACATACACACACACACACACACACACACACACACACACACTACAAATGAGGGATAGCTCAGCTGGAAGAGGCACTTGTGTACAGGTTTTATGTCTTGGGTTCAATCCTGGATTGCATGAGGTAAAAGAGAGAACTGACTCCTAAAAGCTGTTCTTAACCTCCATACATACCACGGTGCACACCTGTGTGTGCTAACATACAAACACACACACATACACTTAATTAAAAATGCTTTGAGGACAGATGTGAGAAACTCATTATGATACTCTGTGCCAGAGATCACGCAACTGTTTCGTTTTGCTTTGTTTTCTACGTGTAGTTAAAAATCTTCATCAAGAAAGGAAGGTTCATTTGAGAAGAGCGATTCACAGCCTATCTCAGGGCCTGGGCTCAATGTCCAGAACCACAAAACGAAACATGAAACATTTGAGCCGGGCATGCTAGTGTACGCCTGTAGTCCTAGCACTTAGGAGGTGGAGACAGGAGGAGCAGGAGTCCCAAGATCATCTCCAGCTACAGAGCATATCCTAGGCTAACCTGGACTACGTGAGAGCCTGCTTGAAAAGGGGAAAGAAAGGGGCAGGAGATTGGCCCTGCTCAGCGAGTCAACTTGTAGAATTTTCCTGAAAACCATTTGCATCAGCTGTGAGCTTCCACTCCCCTCTGGGCGCTCTCGGGCCTGGCAGCTAAGAAAGCATCGCTATGACGTCTTCCTTGACATGGGGTGGCCATGGGTTCCCAGGACCCTGCAGGTACCAAAGCGCATCAGCCGGACCCAACCTCTTCTAAAGCGGTGTAGCATCTGCCACACACACAACCCAAGCACATTGTCCTGCAAGCTTCACACCGCCTCTAAATTACATATTATTGCTAACACAATGTCAAAGCCATGTTGATGTTACTTTAACATTTACGGAACGGGGACAAGAAAGGTTGCATGCGCATGTAACATACGTGTAACTTAGAAATAAACATTTGATCTATAGTTGTCGGTTGGATACGGACACCATGGATACGGATGGGCTGACTCTACTTCAGGAGGATGGGACAAAAGACAAGGGTCTAGAGCCACACAGGACGACACCAGGTTAGTTGTGAAGGCTTCAGGCTTTTCACTCCTAGAAAGAAAAGCTTAAGAAGCAGGAGAAGAAAAGGTCATCCTTAAGAGGAATTAGTTCCACTTTAAAGAGGGCACTTAAGAGTAAAAAGGGCAGGCAGGTTCATGTTATATCCACTGTACTGCAATACTTTTAAAGAAGTAATCAGGCCTACGAGAATGAAGAAATTCATACACTCAAAAAAATGGACAAACCTCGCAGTGTGGTGTACACCTTTAATCCCAACACTCAGGGTACAGGAGCAGGCGAGGATCTATGAGTTCAATGCCAGCCTGGTATAGGCAGTGTGTTCCAGGCTAACTAGGGCCACACAGTGAGACACTGCTGTTTCAAACACACACACACACACACACATACACAACACACACACATGTGTACACTCACACACACGCACACACACACAGACACACGTGTATATATACACATATATACAGAGTCAGAATATATAATGGTTGACTTTCTCCAGTTTCTCATTTTCAGTCACGAGGAATTTCTCTAATGAATATTATATGTACTAGAAATAGCCCCCGTAAAATTTAAGTTGAAAAAGAAAAAAGGGAGCTGGAAAGACGCTTGGTGGGTAAGAGCATGGGCTGCTCTTGCAGAGGACTCCAGTTCAGCTCCCTGCACCCATGGCGGCTTGTGACAGGTTACAGCTCCAGACTAGGTGACCTGCTGCCTCTTTTGGCCTCCTCAGTCACCCAGCACAGATGTGATATAATAACAGACATGCAAGCCAAACACCAAAATATGGATAGAAGGAAGGAAGGAAGGAAGGGAGGGAGGGAGGGAGGGGTGGCAGATGCTTTAATCCCAGCAGTGGAAGGTGGATCTCTGTGAGTTTGAGGCCAGCATGGTCTACAGAGTGAGTTCCAGGACAGCTAGGGCTATACAGAGAAACCCTATCTTGAAAAAACAAACAGAAATGAGGGAGGGAGAGAGGGAGGGGAAGGGAGGGAGGGAGGGAGGGAGGGAGGGAGGGAGGGAGGGAGGGAGGGAGGGAGGGAGGGAGGGGAGGATGAGAAGATGGGAGGGGCTGGCTGGTGCTCTCCCTTAGCCAGTCAGTTGTGGACGCGCCCAGACACTGTTTTTAAAGGAAACCCAGCAGAAGGGTGAGAACAGGTAGGAACTGTTCTTAGACAAAAGCTGGGGGTTTGCAACCTCTAGCGGAAACGAAAAGTGTGGAGTGTGGAGTCTCCCGAGCATAAAAGACAGCACAGGTGAGCAAAGCGAGCAGTAGGAAACAGAGGCTGGTGTTTCACCTAAGGGATACAGGGTTCTCTCTGATCCGACTGTATGTGTGGTACCCCAGGGGACTAGAAACGGTGCGGACATCTCCAAACGAGGCGTCTCCCGGGGAGCAGACATTCTGATGTCCTGGGGCCTTCCTTCCAGTCTAGACTTGGAGAGGGCTGGGTGACCCGAACTGCAAGCCCAGTCAAGCACTCATTCAGCAGCAGCTACTCAAGCTGCAGGATTAACGCCTAAAAAGAGATTAACCTTGCTGGCAGGCCAGCTTGCTGGCCTGAAGTTCTAGAGAAAGAGAGAAGTCACAACATCGGCACATCAGCCCACTCTCCTCCAGGGTGGCCGAGCATGTCTGTTGCCTTTGGGTCTAAAGGTTGGGGTGGGGGCTCCCCTCATGCCGTCATCTCTGCCTGGTTCCCACCTGAACTTCAGCCCGTTTCTGGGCTCCTCTCCGTCCTCTCAGTCAAGGTCCGAGCTTTACAGCTACAGCCTGCGAGGCAAAGGATGCCCAGGCCTCAGGTTTCTCTGCCAAACTGCTAGGTAAAGGCAGGAAAGAAAAAGAAACCCCTGGCTCTTGTCTCGTCCAGGACGCAGCCCTTCGAAATGCCTGGAAAGGGTTTTTTAACTTTCGCTAAATTGTATTATGCATTATGCTATAGACTGTGCAATTTTAAAAACATTACTTAGATAATAACAACCCATGGAAAGCGTAATAGGTGCTTAGGAGCAGACGTGTGAGGGCTCCTGCCCTAAGGCAAGCAGGGACTTTGCATTAAAACGCCTTTCTCTTTCAATGTTCTTTTCAAAAAGGTAATAATATAAATTACACTGCTCATTTAAGAAATCTATCATCCACCTGATGACTGTAATAAATAATATATCATCTATTTAAAAATAGCCAAGACACGGCTGGCAAGAGGGCTCAGCGGGTAAAGAGGCTTCTGCCAAGCCTGAGCAGAGCTGGAGGCGTAAGGAGTGAACTGACTTCTGTGATCTGCCCTCCTACCCACACGTGTGCACTGTGGCGGGTACATGTGTGCACACCACATGCTCACGTGCAACTAAACACACAAATGTGAACACCCTTCAACACTGAGAGAAATTCTACATGTTCTCGCATAAAAACAAGGCAATTGTGATGAGTGTCTCATACAGGAAACAACTCCATCTCACCATTCTATAACGGATACATGCTTTTCTTTTTGGTTGGCTTTGGTTTTTCAAGACAGGGGTTCACTGTGTAGCCCTGGCTGTCCTGGAACTTGTTTTGTAGGCCAGGCTGGCCTTGAACTCACAGAGATCCTCCTGCCTCTGCTTCCTGAGTGCTGGGACTAAAGGTGTGTGCAACCACACGCAAGCACTATACACACACACATGCACGCACACACCCGCGCGCGTGCGCAGGCACACACAGACACACACGCATGCACACACACACATGCACATGCGCGCGCGCACACACACACAGGCACACACGCACGCGCACACACGCACACACACAGACACGCACAGACACACACGCACGCATGCACACACACAGACACACACACCTCCATGTTCACCTCCTCTTCACACTCTCTGCAGATGCGGCTCACCCTAACTGCATCGGTGGAGAACACAGTACCCGGTACCCCGTGAGCCAGCTCCCTCTGTAGTCTCAGAGATGGACACACGGGCTGCACGCCAATCTTAGCTAGAACCTTCCAAATGGGAGGGCAGGGAACGGAGTCAAGTTTGAAATGACCAAAACACAATCAGCAGTCTCTTATGAATTTCCACTGCAAGTGGCATGCTACAGACCCTAAAGCCCGGCCACTGGGTGTGCCCACGCAGTGGTGACAGGAGACACCAATCCAGAGGCAATCCTGGTGGCTCTCAACAACCCCCTCCCCACTCTCTGACACACAGCAGAAAGGGGATTTTGTACTCGAATTTTAAACAACCAGGTGCAGCAGAGTACACTTGTTCTCCCAGAACTCAGAGAGTTTCAGGTCCGGCTTTACGGAAGCCACTGTCTCCACAGGGGCAGACACTGGACGTGGTGCTCCGTGGAGAACACTTGCCTGGCACATATGCTGTGTCTCATATATACATATATGTGGTATTTAACGAAGCGCCACACAAAGGATAAAAGACCTTATGTCAGCCCCAAAGCTCTTATGGCAGCTTTTAAGAAGGTGGGAGGCCGGGCGTTGGTGGCGCACACCTTTAATCACAGCACTTGGGAGGCAGAGGCAGGCGGATCTCTGTGAGTTCGAGGCCGGGCTGGTCTACAGAGTTCCAGGACAGCCTCCAAAACAATACAGAGAAACTCTGTCTCGAAAAAACCAAAAAAAAAAGAAGGTGGGAGCTTCCGTGGGCCGATGTTACCTCACAGATCATCACGCTTCCTTTATGGCAGCAGCACCCGAGTTCCGGGCACTCCCGGGAAGCTCCGGCTCACGGCCCCGCCTCACAGGCTGGGGCTCTCAGCCCGCTGCTGAATGCTCGCTGCCACCTGACTTCCAAAGGCAGGCTATGCTGACAGCGCTGCTGGGGTCTGTTCCCTTCACAGCAAAAGTTAACCAGACAAGGGCCAGGGCTCTCTGCTTTCTTTCCCGAGTATTTCTTTCCCAGGACTGAAATGAGATTTTTAATCCAGCCATATCTGAAACACAGCACCCGTTACCATGGAGAAGCCAAATAAGCTTTAAGATTTTGTGAAACTGGATCCCAGGGAAAAACCTCTTCCCTTACTCTATGCGGGTATTTCCTCAAAATTACAAAAGACCTGGGGGGGTGGGGGCAGGGACGAACGGGGGGGGGGCAAGTGTTAGCGAGAGGAACACAGAGCAGGGACCTGCGAGGCCTTGGGGGTGAGGCCAGGGGCATAAGGCCCTTGGTCTCTGGTCCAGTGTCTCTTCTTTTTTTTTTAAGATTTATTTATTGTATATACAGTATTTTGTCTGCATATACACCTGCCGGCCAGCAGAGGGCACCAGATCTCGTTACAGATGGTTGTGAGCCACCATGTGGTTGCTGGGAATTGAACTCAGGACCTCTGGAAGAGCAGCCAGTGTTCTTAGCTTCTGAGCCATCTCTCCAGCACCCACTGTCTCTTCATTTATAGAATGTAGCTCCGTGTGTGCTGCAGTTTCAGAGAAACACCTCATCTCACAAGCCAGCATGGCGCTGCAGAGACGGCTCCATTCGGAGCCTTGATGATCTCGCAGAGACCTGGGTTCAGCTCCCAGCACCCACACCCCATGGTTCACAACCATCCAGAATTCTCGCATCCAGAGATCCAACACGCTCTTTTGCCTACCACAGGCACTACATGCACATGGTAATGTACACATACATGTACACTCAAACACATAAAATAAATCTGAAAGCAAAACAAGCGTCGTTTTAAAGTAAGCGTAGCTGGGTATGGCGGGCATATGCCTTTAATTCTACTTGGCACAGGCAGGCGGAACACTGTGAGGCCAGCCTGGTCTACACAGTGAGTGCAAGGACAGCCCAAGCTACATAGTGAGACCCAAAAGTCTCCAAACAGTAGATATAAAAACCATTCATTATTAATCCCCTACCCCTGAGCTACTGAGACACAATCCTGAGATGAAAAAAAACAAAAAGCAAACAAACAAACAAAGTCCCCATCAACTCACCAAGAGCACATTCATTTAACACAATCTGTTAAGCCGGAACCCAGGCCAGGATGACTTAGCAGGTGCCCCACCAGGCCAGACAACCTGAATTCAATTCCCAGAATCCATGTGGTAGGAGGAAGGGAAAGATTCCCACAAACTGTCCTCTGACCTTCGCACGTGCAACAGGGCACAGTGTGCCCAAACACATACACACATAATAAACACGTAAATAAACAGATAAATATGAAGCCACGCTGCCAACTGGCGTGTGGGGCATGTCTGTCACCTCCCCAGTCAGGTGGCAGAATCAGAAGATGTAGATTTTCAGGTAGAGCTGGCTACTCTGCCGTCACAACTCCGGGAACTATTACCAAGGCAAGGGAGGCCTACGGCATAGGTGCTTTAAGTCAGCAGACCCACAGCAATGAGCTTTACAGTGGGGGTGACCTTTGTGCCTGACCAAAGAAGAGGCTGGGCCATCTGATTATACCCAACTACCTGCTGGGAGAAAGATCTAGAAATGGTATGAACCTGTCACAGATAAACATCTCCCCAACGGTGACAGCTGTGACATCAAACGGGTTTGTAAAACAGGCACTGTCCTAAAAGGCAGTTTTAGGACTACAGCTTTCATTAAATTCTCCTTGTGCTGCAGGCAGGGAATCTGTTGACACTAAGAATGATCTATTAGCTTACTTTGCAACTCAGCGGACCCCTAGTCTCCACCCATGCCTTCCCTTGAAGCAGACACCTACACAGGGTTCAAAAGCGAGAAACTCAACAAGAGTGATGTAAATTCCATTTTTGTAGGTCTGTTTGCTGTTTGGTTTGTTTTCAAGACAGGGTTTCTCTGTGTAACCCTGGCTGTCCTGGACCTTGCTCTGTTGACCAGGCTGGCCTCCAACGGTTAGGGATGTATCTGACTGCCTCCAGAATGCAGTGACTGAAGGCGTGCAAAGGCGTGCGCCACCATAGCCCAGCTGTGGATTGTTTTTAATTTAGCATTTGCAGTAGGGTCATCCTCTGCCCTGTGGGACTCTGATCAACTGTTAACACCGGAAGGAAGGACAGTGACAGACCGCTCTGCGGAGCTCTGTGGGCCTTGGTCTCGGGGGCAGCAGCCGGCGCCTTGTCTCCCGCGTCCCTCTCGCTCGACTCCTCGCTGACTGTGGAGTCCGCATCTGAGGGAGAAACTCTGCAGACACAAAGGAGAATGCAAACATCAGAGAACAGAGGCCAGGAAAGGCTTTAGAGCATGTCGTTCATTGGAAGCAGGCTTCCGCGAAAAACAGTCCACAAGTCAAGGATCATACTATGGCCACAGTCACCGTGTCCTGGAAACAGGCTGGCATGGCTAACTAACCGGCTGAGCAGGGTACATTCCAACAGATGCTAGAAAACTAAAGCTGGAGAGAGGAAGTTCCCAAAGCTACTGGGGCCCATGGCTGAGGCCCTGGCCCTAGGCCATTTCCTGTCAGGCCGTCTAGGTCTAACACCGTTGGACGGAAAAGAACCTGGGCTCCAGCGTCGCCGCAGAGGATGTAGGTAGTGTCTGAACACCACTCAGCATCCGAAAAGCCCTGTGTTCAATCCTTAGCACCACAAGAAAACAAACAAGAACAACTTACTCCTGAAATAATGACCTACGGGCTGGGGAGACGGCTCAGCAGTTGAGAGCACTGGCTGCTCTTCCAGAGGACCCAGGTTCAATCCCCAACACCCACATGGCAGCTCACAACTGTCTTAACTCCAGTTCCAGGGGATCCGACACCCTCAAACAGACACACACGTGGGCAAAATCACCAATGTACATGAAATAAAAACAAGCAAAATAAAACAGTCTTGTCTGTGTAAATTTAACATTGACCCAATAGTTTAAAATCTACAGCACAGATTCCAGTTTAACAACAACAAAAAAAGGGCCTATGAAATGCCAAACACTGGCTCCCAATTATTGTCCCTTGACCTCCACATGTACACATACACACAGAGGGAGGGAGGGAGAGAGGGAGGCAGGGAGGGAGGGACGGACGGACGGACGGACGGACGGACGGAGGGAAGAAGACAGACAGACGTAAAAAAGAAGACCCTGGGCTTTTGGCCTGGTTTAGCACCAACTGTACCTGAGAAGCCTAGGAGGCCAGGGACATTCTGGGGTCACCCCAAATAACTCCAGACCTCTGAAACAATGAGATCTGATCCCATGCATGAACATTAAAGGTATCAGAGCACCAGGATATAGCAGGCTGGGGAGCACACCAGGATAGGGAGCACACCAGGATGGGGAGCACACCAGGGTGGGGAGCACACCAGGATAGGGAGCACACCAGGGAAGGGAACACACCAGGATAGGGAGCACACCAGGATAGGGAGCACACCAGGATGGGGAGCACACCAGGGTGGGGAGCACACCAGGGTAGGGAGCACACCAGGATAGGGAGCACACCAGGATGGGGAGCACACCAGGGTGGGGAGCACACCAGGATAGGGAGCACACCAGGATGGGGAGCACACCAGGGTGGGGAGCACACCAGGGTAGGGAGCACACCAGGATAGGGAGCACACCAGGATAGGGAGCACACCAGGGAAGGGAACACACCAGGATAGGGAGCACACCAGGATAGGGAGCACACCAGGATAGGGAGCACACCAGGGTGGGGAGCACACCAGGATAGGGAGCACACCAGGATAGGGAACACACCAGGGTGGGGAGCACACCAGGGTAGGGAGCACACCAGGATAGGGAGCACACCAGGGAAGGGAACACACCAGGATAGGGAGCACACCAGGGAAGGGAACACACCAGGATAGGGAGCACACCAGGATAGGGAGCACACCAGGGAAGGGAACACACCAGGATAGGGAACACACCAGGGTGGGGAGCACACCAGGATAGGGAGCACACCAGGGTGGGGAGCACACCAGGGTAGGGAACACACCAGGGTGGGGAGCACACCAGGGTAGGGAGCACACCAGGATAGGGAGCACACCAGGGAAGGGAACACACCAGGATAGGGAGCACACCAGGGAAGGGAACACACCAGGATAGGGAGCACACCAGGATAGGGAGCACACCAGGGAAGGGAGCACACCAGGGAAGGGAACACACCAGGATAGGGAACACACCAGGGTGGGGAGCACAACAGGATAGGGAGCACACAAGGCTGGGGAGCACACCAGGATGGGGAGCACACAAGGATGGGGAGCACACCAGGATAGGGAGCACACCAGGATGGGGAGCACACCAGGATGGGGAGCACACAAGGCTGGGGAGCACACCAGGATAGGGAGCACACAAGGATGGGGAGCACACCAGGATAGGGAGCACACCAGGATGGGGAGCACACCAGGATAGGGAGCACACCAGGGTGGGGAGCACACCAGGATAGGGAGCACACCAGGATAGGGAGCACACCAGGGAAGGGAGCACACCAGGGAAGGGAACACACCAGGATAGGGAGCACACCAGGATAGGGAACAGCCTCAACCAGAGAGCAAATGGTCTCCACAGACTCCCTAGCTTCAATGACAACATGAATTGCTAACGCATTCCGGTGCCTTCCGGGGACTCTGTCCACAGCCATCCCTCAGTACCTGTGGGCCGTGGATATTGTCAAGTTCCTTGTACGGAATGACTCAGTGTCTGCCTGTACCTACACCACTCTCTTTCAACCATCCCTACGTGACTTGCAGAACCTCACACACCGCTGCAAACAGCGGCCGTTTACGCTGCCTTAAGAACAATGGCAAGAATGATTCTGTCGTTCACCACCAACACTATTTACCCCCTAAGCTTTCTGACCCCCGGTTGGGTGAAATCATGAGCTGAGACTTAAAGCAAAGGGGGAAAACTGTATCTACCCCAAAGACGGCTGTGAGGAAGGGGCCAGCTGATGTTTACCTGGGACTACCGGGAGAAAGAATTCTTTGAAAACTGTTACTAACAGCTCAAACCGCCTCTGCCGATTTGCTGCACTCTAGGCCTGGGAATAATTAAGCCAAGATCATCTCTCCGCATAATTCATTTTCTTTCCTAAGGATCATGCTCCAACATCCATTAAATTCTTCAACTAGGCCAGATCCCCGAGGCAGAAGGGATGCCACCCATCATCGGGTTCGGATGTTGGATGTTGATGTGGACACAGGCCAATCAGAAGCCAGGATTCTGCGTCTCAAGGAGAGGCTGACAGCCAGAGGCCTCAGGGGCCTCCCATGAACTAGAGTCAACTGACAACCCGGGCTCAGCTGTCTTCTTCCGGGTCATTCTAGCTCTTCTCACAGGGGGAGGGCAACCAGGGCCTCCCTGGCACTTTGGGGAATTAACGCCGGGTGCTCCACAAGCTCTCCTTTGGCACGAGGAATCGACGTACACCGGGAATGGGCAAGGAGGCGGTGAGTGTGAACCTGTGAGGTGCTGGGTCACAGCACGGGCCGCTGGGAGAAAACAGCCACCAGGAGGAACTCATGAAGGTCACTGTAGCCAAAGCAAGAGGTCACCGCCCGCCACAGCGCAGGCACAGGGGCCCTACCGGCTGTGTGTGCGCAATGAACCATGCACTTCGGCGCTTCCTTGTTTTATTTTTTGAGGAGCACCTGTTTGGGGAGTAGGGGCGATGTGTGCCACGGCACCTGTGTGGAGGTCAGAGGGCAACCTGCAGGCATCCGTTCTCTCCTCCCGCCGTGCGCGTCCAGGGAGCAAACACGGATAGGGATCAATCATGCCTGGCAGCAAGCCGTCTCCCTGGCCCCTGCTCCTCACACGTCCTTTCCTGTATTACCTTCGCAAAGCCTAAGACATTCACCCCAGACATGCACGCTTCTAGCGGGCCGATCCCTAAGCGAATCTGGGGACAACCCAAGACAAGTAAGCATTCTGGGGGAAGAAGCCACACAGCCTCATGTGGTAGGCCGGCAGAGGGGGGTTATGAGTGTCCCCCAGGCTGCAGGCTCGAGGCTACACCCATCACCAGAAACAGACCTGAAAACCGAAACACGCTCTGCAGCAGAGAACAAGCCAGGAAGCCCAACACTGACCTTCCTCTGTGGCGGATGTTCTTAGAAGCGACCTTTGACTTTGGGCTCGGCACATCTCCGTTTTCAGAGGGTGTGGTGTGGTCCTTCACGGGACCCGGTGGCGGCGCTGGCTCGTGGATAATCAGTATGTCATCTTTATTGTGCTGGCCCAGATGCTGCTTAGCAAAATCGAAGCCCTTAACACTGGGGATCTGCAGCTGAAACACACAGGGACAGGGTGGTTAACATGAGGTCAGAGGAACATGACCCCTGACCCCGAGTCTGCCAGCAAAGCCACCAATCCAATTCAACAAACATCTCTGTAACGGATCAGGTACCAGGTTCTGTTTATACTTAGAATTCGTCATAGACGCCCATGAAACATTAAGCAAGAATACAAGGATTAAATAGCAAGACAACAATTCAAAAGCCATTCCAATAGATCACCTGCTCCATCGTCAGAGAGCTGTGAAGTGTGCATTCTTTACATTCCACCCAGGCCTTGGGAACTGTAAAGGCTTCAAAGAGCTTGCTATAGATCAAAGTGTGAGACCAACAGAGGCCTAGAAGAGATGACATTCGCTGAGCTAACAGGACAGAATGCATTGAGGAGGTGGACAGAGAGGCCAGGCTCCAAACGGCAGCTTTTAAGGCTGTCCTCCGCTGGGTACTCAGACGGCCTCTGTTTCTAAAGAGGCAGATTTCCAAAATCTAAGCAGACCAAGCACAAGGACCACGAGCATGAAATCAGGACAGTCTGCCCAGATCCCAGCAAGGAAAATGGGAAGAAAGGACAGTTCTGGAAATCAGTGGAGGGAGAAGCCAGGCAGACAGAAGACACCAAAGGGAAACAGTCAACGGCCTGAAGCCTGAGGCCTGAAGCCTGAGGCCTGAAGCCTGAGGCCTGAAGCCTGAGGCCTGAAGCCTGAGGCGGGCCACCCCCAAACGTGGAGGTGACATTAGGCTGCGTCCTGAAGCAGCAAAGCTTCCGGGAGGTAAAACACAGACTTCGCTTCCGACATGATTAGTTTGAAAGGCAGGAGAAGCCTCAGAGGGAAGCAGCTCCAGGGGGCGGAGACAGGACGGCAGCTTAGGATATGTTCAGTCTGAGAGGCGACACTGAGGACAGCCACCCATCCAGTGACACGCAGGCATGGCTGCAGAGTCTGTTAAGAGAGCATCCAGAAGGTTGGAACTGGGGCAAAAGAAAAGGAAGGACAGAAGAAAAGAGAAGACGTCAAATAACCCACCGTCTGGAGCCTGGAAGTTCCCTGTACAGAAACCAAAGGAATAAAACTTCTAGAGAGGAGAGCTCCCGCAGCAGAGAAGTCTTCAGACACAGCCTGCGCCCACTGGCGGACACAGTGTTCTCTCTGGGGACACCAGTGCACCCAGCGCCATCCCCAGAACCAGACCCTGGGAGCTGCACCCTCTCTAGGCTTTAGCTTCTGAGCCTATGGTGAGGGATAAAGGACATTCACGGCGTGTACCCCGCCTGGTGACATCGTTTTAACACCATTGCAAGCTGTAATGTTTCCTTCAATCCAGCCTGCAGGGCACAGGAAAATGGGAGTGCATATAAGAATCAGCCCTAAGGGGATTAGAGGCGTGGATCAGTGCTGAAGAGCATTCGCTGCTCTTCCAGAGGACCTGGGTTCGGTTCCCAGCACCCACATGGTAGTTCACAACTGTCTGTAACTGCAGTTCCAGGGATCCAATGCCCTCTTCTGACTTCTGTGGGCACCAGGAACACGTGTAGCATACATACATACATACATACATACATACATACATACATACATGCAAGCAAATCACTTGTACACAGAGAAAGTGAAAATTAATTAACTTAGACCAACAAGCTGTCCAGAGGGTCTGCTCATTAGGAATGCCGCTTGACTCTCACAGAGGCCTAAGGGCACACTCACCTTCTAGGAAGACACAGTACACCATGTATAGGAGCAAAAGCCGTTGCCATAATGCAGTGTACCTTATTCCTCAAAAGTGACACTGTTGACTTAGGTTTGTGAACTCAAGTCTCTTACATGCAGATGGGTAAGGGGGAAGGCAGTCTGCAATAATGACTTACGCCAGCAGAGGGAGACAAACGGTACTGTAAAGATAGTTTACAAAGAGTTGCTGGGAAACAAAAGGCACAGCAGCTGGCAGCCAGTCTCTAATTAAATGAGCTTCCTTTACTAGAGCAGGCGGCTGTTCCGTGCACCCCTGGACTCAAGGACACCGCACAGGGAACGACAGAACCAAGCTGCCTTTCCTCAACTGGTCGCCTGGCCTCCTCGGGGGCGGATAAACATTTCCTAGAAGCAGGGGCTTCCTTCTCCCACACCCCTAACAGTCCTGGTGCCCTCACAGAAGAGAAGCCCCGCTCCTATAAACACAGTAGCTCCTTGGAGTACTCCATATAGAGAACAGAAACCTCTGGACATCAGATAACAGTGGCCCAAAGTGCTTAGCAGACCCCTTTCATCAAAGCACAGTAAGCCTGAAGGTGGTTTCCTCCTTCCCTGTCTTAGATGAATCTCCTGTGTGCGTGCATGCATGCGAGTGTGTGAGCATGTGTGTGTATATGTGCGGAGGCCAGGTGTGTGTGTGTGTGCGTGCGTGCGTGCGTGTGTGTGTGTGTGTGTGTGCGTGCGTGTGTTTGTGTGCGTGTGTGTGTGTGTACCGTGTGCATGCCTGGCACCCGTGGATGTTGGAAGAGAGCATCAGATCCCTTAGAACTGGGATCGCATATGGTTGTGAGCCACCATGTGGGTGCTGGGAACCAAACCCAGGTTCTCCGCGAGAGCAACAAGACAGGGTCTCCCACGACACATAGGGATCTCAGATTCAGCTAGGCTGGCTGGTCAGCAGTCCCTATTCACCTGGCTCCACCTCCTGAGGGATTGTAAGTGCACACCGCCGGTGCCTGGCTTTTGAGATGAATGCTGGGGACCAAAGGCAGGTATAAGTGGTGGGAGTCGAACCCTGGTCCTCCGCAAGAACAGACAGCAGTCTTAACCATCTCCCCAGGCCCACCACATACATTTCTTTTGTTTTTGCCTTTTGTTTGTTTGTTTGTTTTTCGAGACGGGGTTTCTCTGTATTGTTTTGGAAGCTGGCCTTGAACTCACAGAGACCCGCCTGCCTCTGCCTCCTGAGTGCTGGGATTAAAGGCGTGTGACACCAATGCCCGGCTCACATATATTTCTTTAGTGGAGAATTCCACACTGGGATGCTGTGAACTCACACTCTGCAGAGGAAACCTCGGAAGCAGGGTTTTCTTTCCCTTTTTTTTTCCAATTAAAATTAACACAAATATTGTATTGAGTTTTAGGAACTTGGTACTTTTTAAAAATTCCAAATCTCTGCACACAGACCAGCACTCTGCTTGCTCTGCACAGCAGGAGCCTGGGCTCGGAACCGTCACTTCTCTTCTTGTGTCACGGGGCATAGAAAACCCAAGTCCCGATGCTCCCCAGCCCCTCCTGAACTACTGAAGGTGCTCTGTGACCAGGCCCCCAGCAGAGGACAAGGGAGTAGGGTGGGTGGGGTATTTGTGGAAACCAGCTGCTATCTGTGAACACATTCTGTGGTGTGGGGACATCTACACAGCGTACGCCACACGCATTCTGGAATGCACTGTACCCAGGACACAGGCGAGTTTCCCTCCGTGTTCTGTGGGGTTCAAGCCAAAGCTCCTGAAGTTATCTAGTCCCTGAGGGAGCTCAGACGTTCGGTAAAGGTCAAAGAGAGGCTCCTTAAGCATTCAACACTGAGATGCCACAGTGACCCTGGGAACTGCTGCAAGCTGCCTGTAGTATCGGGGTCACATGTCCCCACATCGGGCAACCGTTGAGGGTTAAGGCGCGTGAGCCCAGCCCTGGTGTGCAGAGGGCCTTCTGGAGACTCGGAACGTAAACTAAAGCAGTGCCTTCGACACCGGGAAGAACGTAAACTAAAGCAGTGCCTTCGACACCGGGAAGAAGCCTGGGTTGGGTATACTCTGTTCATCCATGGCTCAGCTCCTGCCCTCTCCTGACAGCGTTCATTCCTAGGTACCAAAGCAGCAGCGAGGCCGACACAGCAGCAAGGGGAAAGAGGGGTGAACTCAGAGACACATGTCGCTCACGTGAGACTGAGAATGTGGCCTTAAAGAAAAAAGAAAATCCTCCTCCCATCTTCAAATTTTTTTCTGGGGTCCCCTGAAAGAAACCCCTGCAGACTCGGAAGGTCTGTTTGGAACTCAGAGTTAACGAGTCTGCAGACTTCACTCACTCACATAGGGACCATCGACCCAAGTCCTGGTCAAGCATGCTACACACAGATGTCCCCAGACACACGGTGTGTTCAGTTGGTGGTACCTGAGCCCGCCCTCCTAGGGTGGTCTCCTGCTAGAGTACCACATTAACTGAGGCCCACAGTTGGACCCACAGGGAGCAGGGTTTCCCATTTAACACCATCTCTGCCGCCTTCGGATATCTCCTGCGAGGAATCAGTGAGAACAGATCACGTCCTGGGGCACCCGGAAGGCATGGGCTCCGTGCTCCATTCTGCCTGGCTTACAAGGGGTGCGTTCAAGAGGGGCATGGCAGCCCTGGAAACATGAAGCTGCCCCTGGCCACAAGCTCAGTGCGCCCCACAAAAACCAAGAGCTTGTAAGCACCAAGTTTACCAGGCCTCAGCTTCCCTTTCTGTTGTCACTTGAATCAAGGCCTGGCTATATAGCCCAGGCTGGCCCTGAACTTCAATTCTCTTGTCTTGTCCTCTACATGCTAGGATTAAAAATGTACACCACTAACACTGGGCTGAGCCTGGGTCTTTTCTTTCTGCCCCTTGACTTTTTACATTTGTATTTACATGTATGTTTGCCTCCATGCATGTGCATGTGCTGTGTACATGTGTAGTACCTGTGACTCCCAAACGGGGTACTGGATCCCCGGGAACTGGTTACAGGTGGTTTTGAGTCTCAGGGTGGGTGCTAGGAACCAGACCTGGGTCCTCTACCACTGAACCATCTCCAGCCCTAGAGCCTGGGTCTTTGTTTGCATCAAATGATAAAAGAGTAAAAATTTTCAGATTTACTTCTAAAAAGATCAAAATTCCGACTTAAAATCAAAAGAGAAGTAATGGAACCAAGCCAGCATCTCCGCTTCCTCGAACCTTCATGCAGCCCTGCAGGAAATGGCCATGGGCTTCTCTCAGTCATTGGGTACCACAG